GATAAACTTTCATACAAATAAATTATACAGATTAAATCATTTAAATAATAAAATTATTTTTGCATTTTTATTAAAAGATATTTATACACGTAGTGGTAAAGTATTAGATAAAGCACTTGAAGCTTAAACTACAGAACTAAACTAATAAAATTGAATCAGATAATATAATGCACTAAGATATCGTGAAGAAATGTATTATATAATGAAAAAATATAATTAATCAATCGTTGACTTAAAGAAATTATAGATTAAAAATTAAGCCTGGAACAAACGCTTGCTCTAAAGTATATTGCATTAACGAGGATTCTAAATTACAGAATTGGCCAATCAAATGATGGTTTCACTGATTCTAGAAATCACGGGAATGATTTGATCGCCTTTAATTTTTTCATTGGAATTATAATTAAACAAATGTCAATTTAGTGATTATTAAGCTGTAAATGAAAGGTCCTTGCACTGCAATGCAGCTGCGGAGCTTTAAGTCTTTTAATTCTCTTGAAATTAAAACTTAAACTAAATTATCACTATATAGTAGTCATTGAACCGCTAAGCCAAAAAGCCTTAATGCTCACACTTATACGCTTAAGGTTTACTGCCAAAATTCTAAATATAATATAATTCTAGGATGTTGTTAAATATCGCAGGTTGCTATATCGCAGGTTAATATGACCGACCAATTATATCACAGGATCTTGTGTAACAAAAATGAACAAAAATTAGAAAAAAATTAAAAATTTTAAATATCTTAAAATTTTATTATATAAACTACTCTTAATTTTGCATATATATATGCTCTCTAACCCTAAACCTAATATTAACTCGAACCCTAACTCTAACTAATCCGAATTTTAATTTTTTTTTTAAATATAAACTTGCGATATCACAACCTGTTAAATTTAACAAAATTTTAATTCTAAACCTTTATACAAATAATTAATGTCGGGGATGATGCTGAAATTCGAGATCTCGATTTAAAAATATAAACCCTACTAAAACCCACCTATACTCTTTTATTATAAACACTAACCCTAACTATAAAAAAAAAGCTGTAAAAAAATAAGCTAAAAAATTTTTAAAATTTCATATTAAAATATGTTAAAATTTCAGCATCATCCCCGACAATTAATAAATAACTTAACTTATACTCGAAAGTATTCTTTTGATTTCTTTTTTAAGTAGGGTGGAATGACAGAGCCAGCCTAATAACATTAGGTGAAACTGTACTTAAGTAAATTTCTGAATATTATATAAACTTCATTTGTTCGAAGGCGAAAAAAAACTTTTGAGCAGCATGCGCAGCGCAATTGTATGTGCAATGATTCTCATCGCTTCTCTGTATGCTAAGTAATTCTATATAGCGCGAGTATATTTTATAAACTGCTTAAATTCTCATTTCTTACGCTAATTTACCGTAATATATATAAAAAGTCAAAATGTTATGTACTATCGCTATACATATTTGAATATGTTATATGTTGGACATCTTTATAAGCTCAATAATTTGGATTGAAACTGGACTTTGTTCCAGCTTATAACGAGAAGTCTAAGTTGGTCCAATTGCCAACACTGGACAGTTACTGTACAGCGCTGCATACAGTACCCCCCTGGAAAAGTACCCCTTTGAATAGTATTCAATTGTAAATTTTGACATTTTTGAAAAGTATCCCTGTACTAATCAATCTTCAAAAAACTCATTTTTACTACGTATATTCATACGTTATGTGATTAACTCACATTGTCAAAACTTTCATAGTACCCCCCGTATAGTACCTATCTCTTCACACAGTACCTCGAGGTACTATTTAATTAATATCGGTACTTTTTAAAAAAGACCGGAGATTTTCCCTGTATGGTATTAGCGAATTTCATAATTTTTATGTTGGTGCATCAAAAAAGGTACCTTTTTTTTTGAACCAAATGTATCAAAAAACGTAAATTTTGTATCACATGCCGAATAATTCCGCTTTCGCTTCGGGCAATAATTGTGCGACGTGCCGCTATTTTTTGATCATTCTTTCAATACTACAAGTTACGTGTTTTACGCGAATAAACGAAAAACAAACATTTCAGTTCAAGTAAATTTTAATTTCTTTTACTTTAGTAATTATTTTTAATTAAACACCTTTTTATAGTAATTTTTATTTCATAATTTTTATTTCATAATTTAGGTTTATTCGTTTCGGACCACAAGGAAGAAGAGATAAAAAGTTCAACTATCGAAGAATTAAAGGAAGAATTAGGAAAAAAAGAAGACTACACCTATTTTATTGAAGAGAAAAAAGACGACGGCGAAAAATTAAAAGGTGAGTAGAGTTTAGGCGGGGCTTTTTGCCAGGCGAACTTGAGATTCTTGGAACTCAACTAGCCGAATTGGTGGACGTTGGAGGCTTATATGGAATTGAATAGTGTTGTGGGCAACCGTTTTTCAAAAAATCAGTGCAAATTTTGATATGGTTTTGCCTACAATACTAGAATTGACTATATCAAGTTGATAACCTCCACTGACCGTCTTTTGAATTCTTTGTTGAGGTCTAATAATTCTGAATGAAGAATTATTTATGTACCTTCCTCTATACAAAGAATCCTTTATTCACATATTATGTTCACATATTAATTATAATTTTTTATAATTTTCTTAGGCTAAATCGAATTCAATAATATTCTTAGAAAATTAGCCTCCGCCATTCTCGAACAAATTTAAATTTCGAATTGTTGACCCTGGCTGAATACCGATCGGGAATCCCTAGGTATATTTTAATTTATATTTACGATTATTTATTAAAATATTAATTTAATTCTAATATTTCGTTAATTTTTAGTATTAATTTAATTCTATTATTTCGTTAATTTTTAGTATTAATTTAATTTTACTATTTCGTTAATTTTTAGTATTAATTTAATTCTAATATTTCGTTAATTTTTAGTATTAATTTAATTCTACGTAATATTTCGTTAATTTTTAATATAAGATTTTCGAATTAATTTAATTCAAGTTTTCGAAAGTTTTTTTGTTAGTTCAAATTCATAATGTTATTTATTGTTTTTAAATAAAGTTTGATTCGATATTCAAGTGTCTAAAATAATATTAATACATATTCATTTAAATATAATAGTATAATAATTAAATTAAAAAAATTTTACCACGTGAAAAGTTTTTTCCTGTACCTTAAAATTTCTAAGAACCGACCCCCCGAAATTAAAATCGAAGAGAGCATAGACAAGAATGAGGCTAATTTGTGCAAGCAGTCACCCAGCAAATTTTATTCATTTTCTGACTTATAATTAATTATTTAAAATTTATAGGATGAAGACAAACAAGAAGAAAAGGCTAAAAAAAAAAGCGTAATTTAGATTCTTTTTTGGAAGAAATTAAACGGTTGGTAATCAAGAAATTATAATTACTATATCA